ATATAAACTATTAAACTATTTTCTATAGCCTTATTAAAATGCCTTTAAGAAATATATATATATTAAGCCTATAAATTATAGGTTATACCTTTAATTCTTTAGGCTTTTATAGCCTTCTATTTTTATCTTACTTATAGGTATTTAATTCTCTTTTTAATTTAAGTTTTTCTCTCTTTTTTAATTTTTTTTATTTTATATAACCTTATTAACTTATATACCTTTTATCCTTATTTCTTATCTATAGCCTATACCCTTTTTATTTTAGTCTTTAATTAACCTTTTATTTTTTAACTTTACTTTAATTTTCCTATATTTCTTATTATAATATTTAATAGTAAGTATATCTATTTCCTATTTCTTATAGCTTTTAGTTTTAAGCTATAGGTCTTTTATTAACTTTCTGGTTTTACTGTAACTAAAATATATATATTTATTATATTTATAAGTACTATAATTAATTAGTAGTTACTTTTATTAACCTTAAGGCTATATAAAACCTATATTATTTTTATAATATTAAGTATATTTTTATTAATCCTAATTCCTTATACTATAAGAAGTATAATAAATATAAATATAGCTATTATTTATATATTTCTCTTTTATTACCTTTTATTATTAATTTAATTAACTTTTTAATAGTTTTATAGCTATAATTAAGGAAAATTAAATAGATATCTATTATATCTTTAAATTTATTTATAAATCTATCTTTTTTATAAATAAAAATAACTATTCTTAACTCTATTATAATATCTATATAGAACTAGCCTATATATTTTATTAATTATTAAAATTATTTTTATACTTAAAGATTATTTATTACTTAACTTTTTACTTTATTAATAAAAAGAAGATATTTATAAGTCTTTCTTTAATCTTTTAGGTTATACTAATTAATATAGTTATAATATAAAAAGCTCTTTTTTTTTATATTAAGGCTATTATAACTTACTGCTATATTTATACTATAATATATCTATTTCCTTAAAGTAATATAAATAAGGAAGTTTAGGCTATATTTAAGGATTTATAGGTCTTATATTTAAAGGAAAATAATATTAAGTATATAGCCTAATAGGTTATTATTAATGCTTTTTACTGTTTTATATATTTAAGTCTTATTAATAACTTTTATAATAACTTTAATATTATTACCTAAATTCCTACTTTTAGCTTTATATTAAGTTTAAATCTTTATTAATATTTTTAAGTATTTATTATATTTACCTTTTTAGTCTTTATTAGGGTTAAGGCTATAACTTTATCTCTTACTTACTTTTTTTTTTTATTATAGCCTTTTATTTAGTTTAGACCTACCTTACCTATAGAGAGTTTTTAGCCTTTTATTATATTAATTATATATCCTTTTATAACTTTTTAAAAATATAATTAGCCTCCTTTTAATAACTTTAGGTCCTAAAGTATACTGCCTAAATATTTTAATAGCTTATATAGGCCTTATATTATAAAGAAAGATAAATTAGCTTAAGGAGTGGCTTTTAGTATTATAGTTAATTAATTCTTATTATAATTATTATAGTTTTATTTAGTGGTTTTAGGTTAAAATAGGGGGAGATTTGCCTATAATTTAGAGTTACTTATTTTTCTTAATAATATCTTTATAGCTTAAGCCTTTTAGCTTTAATTAAAGCTCTTTTTTTAAATATTCTCTTTTTTTTAAGGTTATCTTTACTTATAATTTTAACTTTTTACCTTTTTGCTTTATTTAGGCCTTTTTTTATATAATAATAATTTATAAGGCATTCTTTATATCTATAGTAATAACCTATTAATTATATTTAGCTAGCTATTTTTTCTATTCTATAAAGTAATATAATTCTTTATATATTTCCTTTTTATCCTTAATTTACTTAACTTTTTATTAATTATCCTTTTTTTTAAAGGTTAATATTAATAGGGAATTTATTATCCTTTTAAGCTATATACTTAATATATTT